TTAATGTGTGTAATAGAGAGTATGCATTTCAAATTATAAGGAATAGGAAGAAAACACTTCCGTGAACACAAGATTTCTTCATGTGAGGAACTGCCAGCATTAACAAAGGGTTATATCGGTAGATTACTGGGACACTTTGAAAAAATTTCGTTATATATAAAAGGGAACGAATCTTACTCTTTGACAACTGTAGCTAGCTGGTTATTTATCTGGATTGCTTAGAAACAACAGACCAGAGTTTTCTAAAAAGTCTGATGTGATATTTCTACCTAGTTTACTTCATTTTATAGAACTGCTGCCGACCTGCCAATTTTTGATAAAAAGTGTAAAAGTCTTTTCCCTGCTTTCTGAGACAAAAAAGAGAAACGTGTAAGAAAAATAAAATACGCGTTGCTTAGCTTTAGCAATCGCAAAGCTCATGAACATAAAAAATATTGGTTTGCCTATAAAGTTATAACATAGAATGAATTTTAAAGAATAGCTCACTGAGACAATAAGTAAAACTGTACTAATTGAATCATTGTCTAACATGTTTATAATTTAAATTAAACATTTACATTTGGGGCAGTTATGGAAAGCAGGCGAAAAGAAAGATACAAACAGAACACAGGAAAAATGTTTCAAAGAAGGTAGTGCCTTCCGCAGTGTCCAGCAGATACTAACATTTTACAGAACAGTACCAACACAGAAGAGCAAAAACTCAAAACGCATTACTTATAGGTCTTGCCACAAGGAATTTTCTATAATCTGTCTCAGTATCTGAGCTGTGTTGAAGTCGGTAATTTGTACATTCCGTGGCTTCAGATTTTTCTTTTTAAATCAGCTCCCAGACTTCTGAGAACTGAATGCTTGCCAGGACTGAGTCAAGTTTTCCTACCTTTTGAATGAGTTTGTTTCTTGATTTCTGTGTATTTCTCAAAAATACAAGACCAGTTTATATCACAACTGGGAGTCAGAGGTGGATTTTAAAAGCCTATCACAGATATTTCTTGGCTTCTGTGATCAGAAGGACTCTCATACCACATTGCTCTGGATGTTCCCCGACCTGACCCACTCCCAAACACCTCCCTTCTCCTCTCAACCACAACCCCAGCTGGGCCCTCTGAGTCTTTTACTATCGATCACAGAATCCTGCGCGTACAATCTCTTCTCCCAACTTTCTTCCTCCTTTCTATTTGTAACTGAAACCTGATGGACCAGGACCAGTGAGTTTAATACTTACCCTACGGCCCTCTCAATGGAAGGTTGTTTCTTACTCTTATGGCCAGGCACGTCTTCGAACCATAAGAAATTATTTCACACATCATTTTTCAGATGTGCTTCCCGATTCACACTCTTAGAAGATTTTCTAAATTGGGGTAGCACATTTCTATCAATTGAGCACCATTCGAGTTGCTATGATGTAGTGATTTAGTCATTCCAGTAGCGTTTGGAAGTACAGAATTCACTTTAGAGCATTTAGAAGTTTTGTTGAGTCGTAGAAGGCTGGTTACCGTTTCATGAGAGGCTAACTTTCCTACAGAACCCTCATTTAGAAATACAGCAGTTTTGGCTAATCCTTTAAATTAGCAGTCAGAATCTACTAGCTCGGAATTAGTTGACTTATTATATTACAAGTGCAGTGATTGGTTGCTTGACTGAGATTTATTGTATTACAAATGCAATGATCGATTGCTTGATTGATTTAATTATTTATGAACTCACAATTATACAGGAAGTCCACACTACAGGCTAGGCACCATGGAATGCCCTCAAGACACAATAAACCCAAAACAGAGGTGGGTTCTCCCTTTATGAGGAAGGATTGTATACAAAAATAAGAACACAAATTATTAATTAAAATGACAATTATAAAAACATTAAAAAATAAAACCAAATATTTAAAAAATAAAATAAAAATGACAGTGCAAAATATTATTTACTTCTATAAGTACTCCACAGGGAAAGCCGAGTGTGAAATGTGCAGGGTCGGGGGAGGTAAAATTTAAAGGGAATCAACTTGTGGAGAACGGATGCTTCTGAGAAAAAGAAAACCAAAAAACTAGAGGATAGCAAAGAACATTTTACCAGCATTTTTCCTTCTGTTTATATAGCAATGATTGATGCCCAAGCAGCCCCTGCATTGTGGCAGATTAGGTGTATGAAAATGTGTTTATTTTTCAATTATATAAAGGGAACAGTTTTAGTTTTGCCTGGCTTAAAACAATTCTGGCAGTCACAGCTGGGAGTTCTCATATAGTTTCTGCCCACTTAATATCATGCTGGTGGTGATGCTACAAGTAAGTGGCCCATGGACTCCGAACACGTTGGCTTTCTGCTTCTTGTTAGTAGAGTCTTTGGATCCACAGTAGAGTTGTTTGCCAGTATGTAAATAGAAGCCTTGGAGCCGAGTGCTTTGATCTGACTCTCCTTTTTCTCTTTGGAGTTTTAGAAATATTTTCCAGGTTTTTATATATGGCTTTTTTTTTTCTTGTTCAGGATTTAATATGCAAAAGCTATATTTTTAAGTAAGTGAATAGATAATTCTTTTGCTTTTATTGTTCTTTAAAGCATAGATAACGTTTCCTGATTCTGTTCAGTTTAACTGCCAGATTAAAAATGAAGTTATAATTATAGATCCTTGACTCAGTGCAGAGTAACACCAATCATAGGGACATTGTTCTGGTTTTGATTTCAAAGTAATCACTGAGCAAGGCTCCTCTGAATTGGAACATGAATCAGCATTTAGCAAGGCTGAGTTTAAACCTCTACTCCAGATACTGAGTGACAGAGGACTTCTGAATAGGGCACTGTTTGTTCATAGTTTTAGGTATCTGTGATTTACTTGGCTTTGTTAGACAATAGGGGCTTTGGTTCAGTTATATTTTTAACATTCCTTAAAATAAATCAGAGTGTTCCCATTTTGGATGTGGATTAGTATGGTGGAGGAAATGAAGAATTTACAAGTGCCGAGTGTCCAGGGATTATGCACTGTGGGCTCTGTGCTGGATTGCCTTGATTAATATTCTTTTGGTTGCACGGAATAGAAACTGGCTCTGGCTGGCTTAGAGGAAAAAAGTAAGTGGTGTTGGCATACTGGAAGAATATTTGGGTATCTCATCGAATCCAGGACTCAGGCAAAGCAGGGATCAGGGGACTTCTGACCTCAGAAGTTCCTGTGTCTGTCTCCCTACATAAAGTAGTTGAAGGGCCTCACTAGATGATTCTTCACAGGAGGCCCAGTGGGGTCCGGTCTTCACTTGTGGATCAATCAAGGTCAGAGGGGCTGGATAATACCGTTTAACCAATTGTTTGTGGGCAGTCACACCTGTATTTTGTGGGCCATTCCCAGAGAAAGGGGAATTATTGTGAACTGGTGGCCACGCTAGTAAGGTCTACTGTATGGAGCATTTTAAAAGCCTAATTCAATTTTCACAGAAAGCCTATAAAAATCACTATTTCTACCTCACATAAAGAAAACTGAGACTCAAACTGGTTAGGCAACTTTCCCAACATTCCACAGTTAGAATGTGGCAGAGCCAGAACTCCAACTAGGTTTTTAAGGGGGGGTAGTCTTCTTAAGATTAAAATATAGTGAGGAGAGTACATGAAGTAGAGTTCCAGATATCTTCTCATAGAGAGAATACCGGCTATCTCCAGTGTACTAGAAAGAGTAAAACTCCGTGTTGAAAGCTGTAGGTTGAATTCCAACTCCACCTGGTCATCGTGGGCAAGTAAACACCTCTCCACTAATAAATGTGGATATATCATCTCCTTCACTAGATACTGTAACTTTATAGGGTCACTGGAATAACATGTGAAAATACTTGGCACAAAGAAGATACTCATTTGGGGGGAGGGAGAACTTTTCTATTAATGAACCTCAAGGATGCTATTAAAAATGGAGTCACAGTTTAAAAATGGCTTTATCATTCCAAAAATCTAACTGCTGTCTTACTCTCAGCCTTTCAAATGGTGCCTTATACACTTAAAAATAAAAGTAGAAAATGCTACATAAAAAGAGTTAAGAAAATCATACAATAGGCAAAGAAAGTTTTAGACACAAAACATTTGACTACTTTTCTTTGAGACTCTGGGCTCACATTTCAGGGAAAAACTCTCACCTTTAGTCACGGCACAATATTTAAGCATTTAATTCTCTCAGCGAATATGGCCTGAGATGGTCTAAGTCCTTTTGATAACCAGAGAAAAAAAGAATAGTGCTCAATGAGATCTATAACTTGAACATCATTGAAACAGATAATCAGCTAATTCAGTTTGGAAGGATTAATGTATTCAAATAGTCAATTCTTTGCCCAGATGATCATTCTTAGTTATCTTTAAGGACAGCTCTGTGGGAAAGAAGCACCGTATAGCAATCCAAGAGTTTATAGTTGTGCTTGCTGGGTGTTCTGCAAATACTTGTAGACTGATCAGTATCAATTTGTTTTGAATTACTTCAGACAACAATTAGTCTAAGTCAACAGCAAAGCTGGAACCCCAAGTAGAAGAAAAAAATCAATTCGTGGTGGTAGGGGGTGAAAGAGAGGTGTAGACTATTATATTTCCTTGACATTTCTACTATCTCTGGATCTTAGTCTCTCTGGATCTTAGTTTCAATGACCTTCTATGCTTCATTTTCATCTAACTCATATTTAAGTGACTTGTAAATGATAAGTATCTTATTTTAAATTCGACGACAGTCAAATGATTTTAAATATGCCTATATCATTGTGTTATTGGCTTGTTCCGGAATTAAAAGCCCTCCTCCTCTATTTACTATGCTGCATTTCAAGTGCGTGGCCTGTTTGCTTTAAATTCTTTTTTTAAATTTACAAGAGAAAACTAATTAGTTATCAACATTTAAAGATTGTTGGTAAATATTATTTTAAATGGTTAGGGGGAGGTCTATATTAAAAACATCATCATCCATGGATATAGAAATTTGAGCAAGAAAGATCTTTTAAAAAAGAGTTAATTAATTTTTTAAAAAGATTAAAAAAAGAAAACTAATAACCAAATAAGTTTTTGGAGTTCTTTTTATTACTCATTGAGAAATTCCAGAAAAGTACAAAGCTCATGGAAATAGAAGCATTTCAGAAAGCAAGACAAAATGTTTGCATACATTTTAATGACAGCATTTTAGTTTTGATGTTAAAAACCTCATGATTTTGCATTAAAGTACATTGCTCATGATTTAAGTACATTCTGAAGTACTGGGAAAGGATTTTATATCTTTTATATTTGAACTTGAATTCCTATAAATGGCTAAGTTATATTACCTTTCTAGAGATTAAGTTCACGATATGATTAGTAAGAAAAATGATTTTATTGATTTATAGTGACTTTGAAGAATAGAAACAGGAAAATAAGCATATATCACACACATACCCCTTTAGGCAGTACATCAGATCAAAGCTGAATTAATATAATAATGTTCAGTATTTTTAATTGCTACTGATGAAAATACATAGATCCTACTACAGAAAAGGGGTCTGGTAATATCAGAATGACTCTTTGTCATATCAGTGTTTTATATCAAAGTTACATAGACAAATAAGTGATGTTGAAGTCCATGCTGTTTCTATCCTCAAAATCAAATAAATGTATGATTACATTATAGAATCTTATCAAGAGTCACTGTGAAGCAATAAGTAAAGATATTTACTATTTTTGCCAAATACAATATAATAGGCCACAAGAGGCTATGAAGTTTAATTAGGTTTTTGGTAATGTGGCAATTTTCAGCAGCTTTTGGGTCACATCATACTTTCCGTTGCTGCTACTACAACAACTCCTGATCCTAAGAAAATGACAGTAAACGTAAAGGAGAAAACAAAAGAAAATAAATTAGATCTCGTGATAGTTCTTCTAAATATTCGTTTGGTTTACCCTTTAAGTGGAAATCAATTCTCCAAGGTTTGGAAGGAAAACAAAAGCATCTTTATAATTCACAGCATGTATTTTAGAGGTCTAATGATTTATCCATTGCCAGTGGGGTTAGTTTGTCATGTTCCCTTTATTCAACGTCAACTGGTTCTGTAGCTATTAGCGCACTTAACTGTTTCTGAGCACAAGAGAGGAACAGTTCCAAACTGGACAGGCTTCTTTGGCGGATGACTTGATCAAGCTGTTGGGTTTTTGTTTTTGTTTTTGTTTTGTAAAGAGAGAGAAAAAGAGAAAAAAAAATACACTTAGTTGACAGATAAGGAATATATTATGTGACTGAAGCCCACTAGAGAAACTTTTTAGATGATGATTTAGAAAATCAAATAGTGCTTTAAATTCAGAGACAACGTAGTCACTAATTCTGGCCTATAATAGCTAAAGTGAGATGATACTCATTACAATTTTAATATTGATACTGGTATTCAGTTATTGGAAAATAACATAAATTTGATCATAGTGATTTCAGAAAACAAAAAATGTAAAGATGTCAGTTCTTAATGAATATACAGACCAAATAGCCACAAAGATCATATCAATATAACAGATGTGAAAAACAAAAGAAATACACAGTACAAAAATACAGCATAATTACATCTTGCATAGAGTTTAGCAGAATAAAGGAAAAGTGAAGAGATCATGTCCTGAAGTTGAAGTTAGAGAAAGTTCTTGGGACAGGTGTACTTTAAGAAATCTTGACATTGGTGAAACTTACTTGACCTGGTCTTCCTGCTGAGTTAAGAGATTGTTTTAATGTATCAATAACAAATTAATAATAGTGAACAAAAGGTTAATAATAAAAGTCATATAATAAAGAACTTTCTGGATTATTGAATACATCAAGGTAAGTTTCTAACTCCCCTTCTGCCCTAAAATATTTGCCCATGTTCCAACAGACACATGAAAAGATGCTCAACATCACTCATTATCAGGGAAATGCAAATCAATACCACAATGAGATATCACCTCACACCTGTCAGAATGGCTAAAATCAACAACACAAGAAAGAACAAGTGTTGGCAAGGATGTGGAGAAAAAGGAATCCTTGTGCATTCTTGGTTGGTGGGAATGCAAACTGGTGCAGCCACTCTGGAAAACAGTATAGAGGTTCCTCAAAAAGTTAAAAATAGAACAATTGCACTACTGGATATTTACCTAAAGAATACAAAAACACTAATTCAAAGGGATACATGTACCCCTATGTTTACTGCAGCATTATTTACAATAGCCAAATAATGGAAGCAGCTCTAGTGTCCATTAATAGATGAATGGCTAAAGAAGATGTGGTGTGTGTATATTTTATATATATGTGTGTGTGTGTGTGTATATATATATATATATAAATAATGTATATAAGAATGGAATATTATTCAGCCATAAAGAAGAATGAAATCTTGCCATTTGCAATGACACGCATGGAACTAGGGAGTATAATGCTAAGTGAAATAAGTCAGAGAAAGACAAATACCATATGATTTCACACATATGTGGAATTTAAAAAACAAAACAAATGAGCAAAGGAAAAAAAATGAGAGAGAGAGAGAGAGAGACAAACCAAGAAACAGACTCTTAACTACAGGGAACAAACTGATGGTAACCAGAGGGGGTAGAATGGGGGATGGGTGAAAAAGGTGATGGGGATTAAAGAGCTATTATAATCAATGCTGTAATGAACATACTGTGATGAGCACGGAGTAATGTATAGAATTGGTGAATCACTATATTGTACACCTGAAACTAATATAGCACTGTATGTTACCTATACTGGAATTGAAATAAAAAATCAACTTACCCATGGTATAAAAATAACCAATGACAACACATTGCCTATAGCTACAGAACAATGAAGGAACTTAAAAAAAAAGCCAAGTAAATTCCATCTCACAGTATAAACCTGTCATACTTATGTAAAAGTTGACATAATCTTTCCACAAACTTTCCCCAACATAAAAGAAAAAAAAAATCCAAACCAGAATTCTGTTAAATTCCACTTCTATAATCCACTGATATTCAAAATGACTGAAAAAACTGAAAGTTTAAAATGTTGAAATATCCTAAAAATTAGTTCATAAAAAATGCATTTAGCAAAATGCACATGTAAAAAACTGAACACCAGTAAGACTCCTTTCAATTCTAACAGCTTGGGATTTTAATATACATACAGAAATAGGATTTCTGCTTATCCTTTTTCCTCTTTTTTTCCCTTCTTCTCTCAGATGACACCTTCAGGGGAATATATGCTTTCGCTTCCACATGTCTATTAAACAAGACAATTCATTACAACATAAACCTGAAGTGAGCAGATATCTTGTCTGTCCTGCTGACTACAGTACCCCAGCATCTAGAAGAGTGTCTGGTACATGCTAGACACTTGATAAATATTTGCTGAGGTTGAATGAATCAAGAAGCCTTTAACCAAGCAGAGCAAAGCGATCTACCAGGAAATGACAGATCCATGTTTAATCTAAAAGTGAAAATATGCCTGACCTAATCTAAAAGATAAGTAGGAGATAAAGGTAAATTTTAAAAGTTTTGTTTTAATACATGTAAAACAAATTGAAATATGAATATTTGTAGTTTTAAAAATTTTACACTTCATCCAAATTCAAATAGTACAGAAGAAGGTACTAATATCCAGTTCCAGTCCATTCCCAATGGTTTCTGTCCACTTTTGGATGCTTTCAAGCGCTAAAGATGGGTTTTTAAAAACATTTGGTCCAGATCTTAGAATTGTTAACTATGGGAGGGTTCATACAATCACTTTGTTCCAACTGCCACTACTGGAAATCTTCCCTATTTCATTTTTAAGAAATTGCTTGATTCTATTCCATGATTTATGTAGTCCCTCTCCCCATGGATAGACATGTAAGTTTGCTCCAGTTTTGTCTTGTTTTTGAAGCACCAAGGAAATTAACAAGCTGAGTGCACTCCCTTCAAAAGATGTTCAAGGGTATCTCTTGGACAGATTTCAATAGGTGAAATTTCTACATCATAAGATTTGCATATTTTAAATTGTGATAGATAATACCAAATTGCTTTCCAGAGTGAGGATGCAAATATATCAGTCCCCTCTGCAGTGTATGAGAGGATCAGTTTCCCCTGTTTTCTTCTTTCAAATGGTTGCATACTTTCCCCCTGTGCATTTATAATTATATATGCATATATATAAACTAGATGTTTTATTATTTATTTAAAAATTATTCTATTGATAGACATTTGGATTGCTCCTAACCTTTTGCCATTATAATCAATGCTGTAATGAACATCCTTCAACATAGACCTCTGTATATCTAAGCTAGTACATCTTATAGAGATTACTTAAGCCAAAGCATATGTCACCTGCAATGTTATTTCTATCATGAATCAGGTTTCCATGTAGGCAAGAATCTGTCTTGGGGTTCCCTATTCTGTTCCACTAGACAATTCACCTATCCTCACACAAATATAATGCTGGCTTAATTACTACAACTTGGTAATAAATCTTAATGTATCACATATTGACAAACATATTACCAACCATACCATCAAATATTTCAGAAGAATATAAATTAGTGAACATTTGTAATAAAATTGAATTTAAAAAGGAAGTGGTCAGACTAGAGATAGTCTGATACCCTTTTTCATACAGCACAAAAGTCAAGCAGAATTCAAAAGTGTATTATTTTGAGTTATATCAATAGGCAATAGAATATTTCTTTTGAAGCAAGGAAATTACGCAATCATAAATGAGGATGGTTGTATCTGGAGTTGTATGTAGAGGATGGTGTCAGGCAGATGAGACACCTGGAGTCATTTTGGAGGGGGCTTCATGGGTTGTTTTACAATTGTTTCAAAACTCATGTACACTGTATATATATCATAAATGTTAGTTTTAATAGTTCACAGTCTTCTAGAAGCCCCCTAGGATAATCAGGAGTTGTATTAAAATAAAATTTGACTGAATATCTTAGAATTTATGAATATTAGACAGAGGAGGAAACTATTCTCCTTCTGAGGGCCTATCGCACAAGCTCACATAATTAACATGTGACCTGTGATGGTTGCTAAGTGACAATAATCATCTGGATTTATGCATTCAGAATGAATATTCTATAATTTTTTAAAAGCAGGGATATATATATAAGGGTAAAAAGGTTTAATAGATTTATTTAAGCATACCAAGCACTTCTCTCTTTTTGCTTGTGGAATTAGTAGATTAGAAGATGATGGACATACTGGTTTTGGGTTTAGGCAGCTCCAAGGTTCACTTCACATCTTTCAGCATGCCTCCCCAGAACTGTCTGAAGTCAAGGATCCATTAAATCAACAGGAACTCAACACTTTAAGGAGCAATAAGGTGACACTGATCCTTTATGGGAAGGACGATAAGTTGGGCTATCACAGACCTAAACTTCCAATTTGGCGGGTCCTTCCTGGACATGATACAAAAATCATGTCTGTGAAGAGGAACACTTGAGACCTTTCTCTTATAAAGATGGCAGATTCCTCTTCTGAAACGAGTGCATCAAGCTGATGTTCTTGGCAAATTCCTGAATTTCAACAGTTTCTGTTTTATTAGGCATTAACTTCCTATCCTTTATTGAGGCAAGAAGAATTCTGGCAAAATATTCAACTCTTTTTGCCCCTTGAAGACTGGAGCTTAGTCCTGTATTCGTGGCTTTCATTTCAAAGTAAGTCAAATATTTGTATTCTATGACTTTGTGCTGACAATATTATGTCTAGAGTAGTGGTGGCAAGCATTTCTGGGTATGGGATTTACAATCTCTTTCTAACAGTGTAGCTCTAACTGCTTTGTTTCCCCCTCCATTTTCTGTTGCTTCAGCTGGGAAAAAAACAAAAACAAAAACAAAACCAAAAAACAACCTGGAAATTCTGAGGTCTCTGGGCTTTATAAATCTTTCTTTCCTCTTTGCATCACTTCAGTTTGTATACTACTGAAAGCCATTTCAAAGCATACGACTTGCTAAAAGTTAATATTAATAAGGTTAGGAGAAAAAAACACATGACTTCCTAGTAATTCCCTGTACTAGATTTACCTTTCCGTTAGTATTTTATGCCATAGCAAAAGAAGAAAAACATCTCTAGACCTTAGCTTTCATTTCAAAATACAATTTGATGGATAGAGAACTTATATTGGTCTGAAGAGCACAATTCAAAATTAATTACAAACAAAAATGGCTTATT